AAACACACACAACAGACACACAACAAACAACACATACACACACACACACAGTTATATAGGCACAATTATATTTTAACTTTAACAAAAAAATATATAGACAAAGAAAAAATACCAAACAATAAAATTTAACAAAATACAAAAAAAACCACACAATACAATATACAATACAATACTTCAAAAAAATCTGGTGTTCTTATTAAAAAGCCATAAATGGAAAAACTTCTACTTACTCCATTTAAATCGCTAATAACAAAGGAAATGGATTGCCAGTCACAGTTGTAGAAATACTACTACTGCTTCTACCCTACCACTACTACTACTACTACTTCCATTACTACTACTAATACTACCACTACTACTACTCCTGCTACTACTACTACTAATACTGCTGCTACTACTACTACTGCCACTACTACTACTACTACTACTACTACTACTGCTGCTGCTGCTGCTACTACTACTATTACTACTACTACTACTACTACTACTACTACTATTACTAGTACTACTTCTACTACTACTACTACTACTACTTCTACTACTACTACTACTATATTTCTAATAATAATAATAATAACAACAATAATAATATTATTATTATTAAATAATAATAATAATAATAAGAATAATAAGAATTTTTTTACAATCAAAGCGACGTTAAAAGCCAAAAAATCTTTTATTTCCGCCAGTTACATTTTCTGCGTTAAAAATCCATATTTATATATTTATTTATATCCAACCAAAGCAACAACAGCAACAACCAAAACAACAACAGCAACAACAACAACTATGACACCAACAACAACTACAACGGCAACAATAACAACAGGACAGAGCGCTCGTATTGAAAAAATAATTAATTACATTCTAGGACATCTTGCTAGCTGATTAAAATCGCCCCCATTCACTGGTGTACCAATTATTTCGTGAACGAAGATGAAGACGACGACAATGATGATGATGTTGTTGTTGTTGTTGTTTATCGCGATGATGATGACGTCATTCGCCTAATTAGAAAAACAATGTCTGTAATGATGATGACGTCAATTTGTATAATTAGATCAACATTGGTGATTAAGACTATGATGACTGACTGGGTAATTATTAAAACATTTATTGTGTAAATATGCTAACAGAGAGGATGATGATGATGAGGATGAAGAAGAGGTTATAGACGCATACATATAAACGAACAAATACAGACGAATTGACACAGACAGACAGACATACATTGGTCTGTATAATTCTAACATCAACAACAACAAAAACAACTCAAAGATCTGTCATAGTACGCTGAAAATGAACAAAAACCTCTTGCATGCAATATCTGAGAACTTGACAACAACAAACATCCTTCACAAACATACAACACATACATACATGCAAACAAACATACAAAATTTCAAACATGCATACAAACATTGATCCGTCATTTAATAACTACATACATGCAAACATTCACAATAACAAACATACATACAAACATTGATCAGTTACTAAATAACTACATACATACATACAAAAAATTACAAACATACATACAAACAAACATACAAACATTGATCAGTTACTAAATAGCTATATACATACATACAAACATACAAACATAGATACAAACATACAAACATTGATCTGTTAATAAATAACTATACAAAGACACGTTGTTCAACGCTTCAAAATTTTTTCCTTCTCAATATCCGAAATCTCTGCTATTCTTATCTTTTTTTAGTATTTTTTTCAAACTTCATTTTCTTGTGTCCCTTTATAATCATTGTGAAATTTTGTTTGATGTTGTATGTCGCTAGTTTTTTGTTGCACGCATGCATGTTTGTTTGTTCGTGTGTGTGTGTGTGTGTATATGTGTGTGTGTGTGAGATATTATATACTATGTAGCCTTACATGTTTCTTCTCACTCATTCATTCTCATTTCATTTCTTCTTTTGTCTAATATCAATTTTTGTGCCTTTGTATATTTTCAATTTAATTAACTTTTATTTTTGATTAAATTTTTTTTCTCCTTGCTAGCTAGTTGTGTGGCCGAATCGTGTAATTTATTTCTTTTACTTAATTTCAATTTCTTTCTTTTGGAACTGGAAAATTTTCTTTCCTTCACTTCAAAACTATTTTCTCAACTGTTCTCCCAACTGTTCAAAAAACATAAAGTGATTAAATAAATGAACAGTTTTTTTTCTTAAGAAAAAAAAATATTTTGTATGTTTGTATTCTGTGTATGTGTGTGTTTGTGTGTATGTTTGTGTGTGTGTTTGTGTGTGTGTGTTTATGTATGTATGTGTCTGTAAATATGTGTGTATGCATGTAATAGAGGTGTGCAACTCATGCTATTGGATTATCCATCTTCCCGAAAGCATGTAAAACCAGAACCACAAATTAAAATAAACTTTCCATAAAGTTTACTAGCACGGGCATTGGGCTGGATAAATACCCTATACATTACACAATAGCCGCGTATTAACTAAATACCACCATCTGATGATACTATGGTATGTGTAATGATACTACACTATCATGATACAACGCTGTGATGATATCACGGTACCTGTTGATGATACCTAGCTATTTTAAGCAGTTAAATGTTTTCTATATGAATTGATTTTTTTAAATTGTCGTCGTCATCGTCGTAAAAATTATTATTTTAATTGCTTCGGATTTATTCTGCTTATTTCTGTGATCGTTCACTTCTTGTCAACTATTTTTTCACTCTTTCAATCTCTCATCATCTTTTCATCATCGTCGTCATCATCGTCGTCATGATTTTAGTTGAATTTAACCAGGCAAAATTGTCCATTCCTTTCCATTCCAGATGGTTTTTATTCGTCTTCTTTGCAATTTTCAGTATTGTCATCATCAATCATCATCTCATGCATCGTCATCATCATCGTCATCATCATCGTCATCATCTACATCATCATCGTCATCATCATCGTCATCATCATTCTCATCATCTACATCCTCATCATCATCATCATCATCATCATCCTCATCATCATCATCATCATTACAATTCGTTTATAACATCACCATCATCGTCGTCGCTACCACATTCCCAGAACAGCTCCATTGATGATGATGATGGTGATGATGACGAAAACAACAACAACAACAACAACAACAACAACGACGACAAAGATGATGATAATGATGGCGATAATAACTATGAGAATGATGACGACGATAATGAAGATGAGATGCACAAATGATAAGCAATGATCAGCAAAATGATGACGATGATAGTAAAGTTTCGCCCCACAAGAACCAACGTTCAACTCCGTCTCATTCGCTTACTAACCACAAACTCACTCGTCATAATCATCACAATGATCATGCTGATGATGATGACAACGATGATGATGGCGACTACTACTACCAACACCACCACCACTACTACTATTACTACTACTACTACTACTACTACTACTACTACTACTTCTACTACTACTACTACTAGAGCTACAGCAGCAACAGCAGTCACTACAGATACTACTCCTACATCAAAGTCGGCCAGGATGACGACGATGATGAAAGATTGTTAGTGTGATTATTTCTTTATTTAAGCGATATGAAGTGATAATAATAATAATAATAATTAAAGTAAAGATGACGATAATGATGATGATAGTGGTGATGATGATGACGACGACAATGAGGCTGACAATGATGATGATGATTAATTGCCAGCTGTGTTATGTCCTGGCTTTACCGTTAAAGTGTTGGTCATAATTGAGAGTGATGATGATAATGATGATGATGATGACGTCATTGATGTTATTAGTTTTGTTGATGTTTTTGTTGTTGTTGTTGTTGATGTAGTTGTAGTAGTTGTTGTTACTGTTGTTGTTGTTGTTCTCGCTAATGATGTCACGTCAATATTGTTGTTTTTGTGGATTTTATTTTTGTTAACTTTGTTGTTATTAATGTTGTTTTAATGTTATTGTTGTTGTTTCAATGTTGTTTTTGTTGTTGATGTAGTAGTAGTAGTTGTTGTTGTTAATGTAGTTGTTGTTGTTATTGATTTAGTTGTAGTTGTTGTTGTTGTTATGTCGTTGTAGCTAATGTTATTGGTTTAATTTTGTAAGCGATGTTGGTTCTAGTGGCTATTTATCGTTATGTATGCTTCATTCTGTTCTTTTAATTATTTCCGTTCCTACTACAACTACTGCAGAAGTAGTAGTAAGAGTAGTGGTAGTAGCAGTAGTAGTAGTAGCAGCAACTACTTCTACTACTAGTAGTAGTAGCAGTAATTGTAGTAGCAGCAGTAGTAGTATTAGCAGTAGCAGTAGTAGAGGTGGTAGTGGTATTAGAAGCATTTATTACACGAAAACAACAACAGAACAATAAAATAAATAAACAGTGACGTCATTAAAACAACATCAACAACAACATCAAAAACAACAACAACGTGAAGATACTTAAGAAACAAAGAACCATGTGGCCTCCTTGAAAAAAGAGCAATCCATATAAATACAAAAAGCCAACCGTTGTCAATAAAATAAACAACATTAACAAGGCAAAGTAAAACAAAATCAACAACAAACAACAACAACAACATCTACAACAACATCAACAACAACATCTACAACAACAACAAGGTTGATGACGTCACCAAGAGTGACGACAATAAAAGAGTATTTTCATTCTCTCGCTCCTTGGTTTCGAACAGTGTTGTGCATGTAATGCCACACTAATGAAATATAAATCTTTTTTCGAATGATGTTGTTGTTGATGTTTCTGTTGTAGTTGTTGATGCTGTTGTTGTTGTTGATTTTGTTGTTGTTGATGTTGTTGTTGTTGATGTTTTTGTTCTTATTGTTGAGGTTGTTGTTGATGTTGTCGTCGTTGTTATTGTTGTTGATTTTTAGTTGTCGTTGTTGATGTTGATGTTTCTGTTGTCGTTGTTGTTGTTGTTTCTGTTGTCGTTGTTGTTGATATTGATGCTGTAAAAATGTTAAACATTCAGAAGCATTGGTCCGAATGATGAAGTTATGTTGAAATTTTTAACATTCTTTAATTACCTAAGGACGGCGATAAAATTAAATTTATTGCGTTTCCTAATTGTAGCATCCTACTACGAATATTGTTGCAACAACAACAACAACAACAACAATGACGTCATTGATGACGTCAAAAACAGCAACAACAAAACTAGCCGTGGCAAATATAACAGCAATAAAGATATCAGAAATAAAATCATTAAAAAATTTCGTGACATCAATCGTTACCATCCCCGCAACAACTTGGTTCGTAAAATTCGACACAACAAATATGACAACAACAACAACAACAACGACAACAACGAAGACAACAACGACGACAATAACAACAACAACGACAATAATAGCAATGACAGTAATAATAATGATAATATAATTAACACCAGTTACAATAATAAAAATCAGAGAGATATATTCATGACAAAATCTCTCGACGATGACTTCAGTACAAACAACATCAACAACAACAAACTTTTAGAAAGCAACCATCAACAGCATCAACAACAACAACAACAACAAAATCATCCATTCCGTAATTATTTAGATCAACAACAACATCAAAAACAGCAGCGGCAACCGCAAAGACAGCAACCGCACCACTTCAAACCACAGCCGCATCAACAACTTCAACTACAATCTCATCAACAACAACAACAACAGCAGCAGCAAATACACACTCAACAACAACAACAACAACAATCAGATATACAAACACACACACATTCACAAGTACTACATACACACTACCACCACCAGCAACAACAACAACAACAACATCCACATTTCCAACAACAACAGCGGCAGCAGAAGCAGCAGCAGCAGCAACAACAATACACAAGCACACAGATCCACATTCTGACAAGGGGCCAACGATTAATATTCAGATCCGGCGATAACACCGACTTACTATGCGAGTTTCATTACGAATACTTCGATTATTTTAACAACCCGGCCATATGGACAAAGAGACAGAGGGACGAAGACAATCAGATCAACTCAATGGGGAACCTCTTAGAACCTTTCCTCTCTACAGATCGATTTAAAGTCACTTTGAAGAACCATGCACCGAGATATATATTTAGTTTGAACATCAAAGGTACGAGTTTTTTTTAAATATCTGTTTTTTCTCGATTTCTGAAACATGAAAATAATTTTTTAATTATTCAAAACATAAAAACATACAAGACAAACTTGCACACACATGCATGCATGCATGCATACAATCAAACAAACAAACATATATATATATACTAACACACATATATACAAACAAACATATACAAACAAACAGTCAAGCAAACAAACAAACAAACATACATACATACACATATTTTTACGATATATATATATATATATACATACATACACACATATACATACATACAAACATACATACAGACATACAAACAAACATACAAAAAGATGACGTGATTTGATGTAGGATCGTTTAACCGTAATTGTTCGAACCGACGTGTCCTGTACATCAATGCTTTCCATTCCTACCATTAATCATATTATTATGTTTATTATTAATATTATTATTATTATTATTGTTATTTATTATTATTATTATTGTTGTTATTTATTATTATTATTGTTATTATTATTTATTATCATCTTGTTATTACTTTATCTTTTTATTTATTATTGCCACTTGATAGTGGTTTAAATACTGAGCATTTTATTTCATTGAGTTTGAGATTTGTGAGCATGAAAGCATGAACACGCACATGTAGCTTTCCAGATAATCGAAATAAAAATTATTTGAAAAACATTGTCGTCATCATCATCATCATCAACAACGTCATCATCATCATCATCATCATCGTTGTCATCATCATCGTCATCATCATCAACGTCATCATCATCATCAACAACGTCATCATCATCATCATCATCATCGTCGTCATCATCATCATCATCATCATCATCATCATCATCATCATCGTCATCATCATCAACGTCATCATCATCATCAACAACAACAACAACAACAACGATGTCAACAAAATGATTCCAAAAAAGACCCGAATTTATTTTTGAGGCCATTATTTAAGAGAATATTTTTTTATTAATCCAATTTAGCAAGGGCCAAGTATGCAAACCCACATAAATGATATTTATTGGAAACAAAACTCACAGCGAAGTTGATACACCTGGGCTAATATGCGCCGGCAAAAAATATCTTCTTTGATACCTCAACATGATTTAGATACACCTAACTTGTACACTTTCATACACTCACTGATACCCTCATTGATACGCTCACAGATACACGTACAATCACGGATACACACAGATACACTTAGAGTCACTGATACTCACAGATAACCGTACAGTGACGGATACACACAGAAACACTCACAATTACGGATACTCACAGTTACACTTACAATCACAAATACACACAGATACATTTAAAATTACGATCAAAAATACCAAACTAAACTCCAAAACACACCCCAAATTACACAAAGAAAAAGAGAAAGAAAGAAAGTGAGAAAGAAAAAGAGAGAGAAAAAGAGAGAGAGAAAGAGAGAGGGAAAAAAAGAGAGAAAGAGAGAGAGAGAGAGAGAGAAAGAGAGAAAGTGATTTTTGTCGTTAGTGGAACAAAATACTATCATTGTATTGTGATTAATTAAATTATTGCACAGGAATGAATTAAATTAGTGCTGAGCTATTGCTGCAACATTCATTTTTATTATTTATCTTCTTTTTTTCTTTCCTTTCATTTCATTTTAATTTATTTGGCGCTTCGTTTTTCATTGTGCAACTATTCTTTTCCTCAAAAACCAATATTTTATCTGAATCTTCAAAAGTATGTATGTGTGTGTACGTGTGTGTGTGGGTATGTATGTATGTATGTTTGTTTATATGTTATGTATGCATGAATGAATGTATGTATATGTGTATGCTTGTATGTATGCTTGTATGTTTGTTTGTATGTATGTATAATCATGTTTAGCATACAAAAATAATACAAGAGGGTTTTCCTGTCCGGATCTAAACAAGAAAAAACATCTTAAGTATATGGTCTTGTTAGAAAGTTGTAAATTTTAAGATTTTTTTGTATGTATGTAAGTATATATGTATGTATATACGTATGTAAGTATATATGTATGTACGTATGTTTGTATATACGTATGTTTGTATGTTTGTATGTGTGTCTTCTGAGGCGTGTATATAATTGATTTTGTTCCCATAGATGCAACCATTATTTCTTATCTTTTTTGGCATTTTTTTTCATTTGATCGCATATTTTTTTGTAGTATTTTAGTACTCTTTGGTTTTTTTATATGTTTTTGTTTATTTTCAGATATATTTTTTGTAAAAATAATTTTCTTCAATGTCCATCTTCAATCGGTTTTCTGGTTTCGAATGTCGGAGAGTAATATGTACAAGTACCTTTTTACTTTTCTTTCACGCGTGTAGAATTATTTAATAGAATTGTATCGGTCAAAGTTATGGTGCAAGAAATTTTGTTTCAATATAAATGATTTTGAGTTTTATATCTTGCTTGACTCAGGGTGTATTTGAATCCGGAAGAATCGTCAAAAAACTTCAAAAGTTAACAATACACATCACACACACACACAACACGCACACACACACACATGCACACACACGCACACACACACACACGCACGCACACACACAAATATGAATATGAATGTGGTTGATGCCCTTATGTTATCTCGAATCCTCCACGACCAACCAGCCAACCAACCAGCCAATCCAATGCTTGTTTCGGAGTCACGTGATTGATGACGTAATCGAAATGCAAGTGTATGCATTGGCATTGAGAATTTGCATCTGTTGTTGTCTGCATTATTATTACCGCCACTACTACAACTACCACAACCACAACAACAACAACTACTACTAATATTATTACTACTACTGCTGCAACTACTACTACTACTGCTGCTACTATAACTTTAACTATAACAAAACCAGCATCATCATTACTATCTTTGTCGTCGTTGGCGTCATCATCTGCAGCAGCAGCAGCAGCAGCAGCAGTAGCAGCATCGTCATCCAAACCGGAAGTGAAAAGTTGATGGGAATGTCAACAGGAAAGCGCGATTCCACAAAGTCGAAAGTAAAAAGCAACACAATGACAACAACATCAATAACAACAAAAACATAAACTTTAAAAAAACTTTAATTATAACAACAACAAAAACAATAATAATAGCTAAAAATAGACATCATGAGCATATGAAGAAAATTTTGATTAAACAAAAAAAAATTTCGATTTGAAACGTTTCACTCATTCTTTCAATCTCGTCACACACTCTTCAAACACACACACACACACACGCACGCACACACACACGCACGCACACACACGCACATACACCCACATACGCACGCACACACATTTACACATTACGGACTTACACACACACATTCCTAGATACAGACATATATTTATATATTTACAAATACAGCACACTCATTTTTTCATACATTTGATGAACTTACAGCCACGTACAAGTGAGTTTTTGTGCGTATGCGTAGGCATATGTTTGTTTGTTTGTATGCTTGTTTGTTTGTATGTTTGTTTGTTTGTATGCATGTATGTTTGTATGTGTCTCTGAACAGGCGCCTTAGCGTAGTATTGTAAAAAAATTCAAGAATTTTGTGACAGGAAGAATTTATTAAGAATGATGACGACGATGATGAAGACGACGATGTCATATATGATGGTGACGACGACAACAATGATGATGATGATGATGATGATGATGGTGAAGATGATAACGATGATGATGACGATGATAATGATGACGATGATGATAATGACGAAGACGACGATAATCGGGATGATGACGGTGACTATGATGATGACGACGAAGACGATGATAATGATGAAGAGGACGATGATGATGGTGACGATGATGGCGTTTTAGCGACTGCTGTTACTGCTGACTATGTATAACAATTTAACGAGGTTAAAACTAAAATTTGAAGAGGGAAATAATTACAAGAAGTGCAGAAGTGCTCATGAAGTGCATTTTTTTCATCTTATTTCAATTTCTGTCTCTTTTTATATTCTTCTTTCTCTCTTTCTGTTTTATTCTTTTTTATTTTTTCATTTTTTTCTTCTTTGTCTGCTGCTTGTCTGTCTATCTCTGTCTCTGTTTGTCTTCCTTTTTCCTTCTCTTTCTTTGTCCCACTATACAACTCTATACATACACATAACCTTTGTTAATCATAGAAGCATATAATACATCAATTAGTAGATGACATTAATCACGCTGAAACCTCAAAAAAGTTAATTAGATTAATAAATTTTCAAAAATAAGCCAGCGAGCAAAAAAAAAATAAAAGAAAATAAAATATTAAAAATGATAAAAATATGGGAAATACAAATTTAAAGAAAAAACTCAAAAGATATAGGCACAAAGAATTATAAAAGATGAAAAATTATTTAATGGGCGTGATCTGTTGTCTTTGTTTGCGCCATTTGACCGCTGAAAACCGCCAGAAATAATTACATTACTTTCCAAAAAAAAATCTTACCCTTACTTTCTCATCCTCATTCTCTCTTTTTCTTTATCTCTCACGATCTCTCCTATTTTTCAGTCTCTTTGGTACGTTTTTTTAAACTTTTTATTCATTTTATGTAAATTGCTATTTAATATTGTATTATTATGTTCATCATCATTGTCAGCCATGTTTCTCTCTCTCTCTCTCTCTCTCTCTCTCCATTCACTTTCTTTCATTTCTAATCTTTTAACGATCATTCATAGGATTAGCGAAGTAGGTGTGGAATGATGTTTTTCCTCGTTATTAAATTTTCTCTCAAATTCTTTCGTAATTCCAAATTAAATTTCTTATTTTTTTGTAATTTTGGATTAAAATTCAAATTTTTTCCTCTTTAACAAATTTTCGGCCATCTTGATTAAAATTGAAACTAATTCCTCTGAATAAAGCGTGTTTTGGTGGATGAATGAATGAATGAATGAACGAAAGAAAAAACGAATGAATGAATGAATGAATGAATGAACAAATGAATGAATGAATAAAGGAATGAATGAGTGTAAAAATGTTTTTAACTTAAAAGCAGAGTTTCGTATTGTTTCGCTTAAGAGTTGATATATCAA